ATTAACTATTGCTGGTTTTCACATGACGTCACCAACACTCGAACTAAAGAACTATCGATCCCACCGAGTCTTAAGTTTCATGAAGTATTAGAGCAGCTAAAAACTAATGTTTATACAAATTTTCACTTCCTAAAAATCCTTACTAACGTACTCACACTCATTTAGTAAATTTGAAACCAAGATCTCTGCCCGGAAGTAGGTGTCTTATTTCGACGATCTTACTGAAAAAACAGGGGACTCTTTGGAACATTCCGTCCGGAAAAACAGAGGACTAACTTTTCAGATGTCTCATCGCTCTAGGAAGTTTTCCGCTGGAACGACTTAAAAAGTCCTGTTCCGTTTTCTTTCCAACCAGGTTTGACGGAAACTTGTTAGACTGTTCACAGTCCTCTATTTTTCCCTAAGATCGTCGAGATCGAGTGCTTTGCGTTACGGGCTGCCATCTTACATGAGTGTCAAAACTACTTAGGGGGCGGGGGCGGTTAATCCCCGACGCCCGCCCCCTCGGTCCATTTGAAAATCAAGATGTAGCCGTGACGGTAAGACGCTGTATATCTAAACGATCTCACGAAAAAATAGGGGACTGTGAACAGTCTAGAAACTTATAAATGGTAAAGCTATAAATAGCTGAAAAATCTAGGACGCTTTCCATCCAATAAAAATTCCGATTTGAAATTTAGGAAATTCCGGGCCTGTTCGCGCTGAATAGAACGGCACATTAGAATGGAATGGAATGGAATAGAATAGAATAATTCTTCATTTAAACGCGGTAAAATTTATCAGGAGTATAAAATTTTTTAAATAAACATAACTACCCTAAACAATATGCAAAACTGTCTGCAACTAACCTAACTAAGACCTGTTTTTCATGAATGCCGTGTTCACAGTACTTTAAAAATCAGAAATTCAGATGAGCCAGTCGTTTAAATTGACTTACAGATTTAGCCTCTCTCATATCACAGGGCAGACTGTTCCAGAGAACTGCTCCGCTATAACTGAAGTTAGTTCGCGGGAACAGGGCAATTAGTTTGTTACCAGAGTCCTTTAGGGAGTAGCGCGTTTCATATCGTTTAAGAAATTTAGAGGATAAATATCCCAGAACAAGATCATTTAAAGACTGGTAGACCATAAGGGCTTTTTGGATTTGAAACTGAATGCTCAAGTCTTTCCAGTTAAGTTGTATAAATAATCGTGTGGTATTAGCATCATATCTGAAAGGTTAGAACACGAGCAGCACGGTTCGGAAGCTTCTGTAGCCTGTCAAACAAAGTTTTTCCACTATTACCCCAGACAATATTACAATAATCGAATTGAGATTGAATGAGAGCTCTCCATTGTATATACAATGGAGAGGAGGCGTTGGAAGAAAATCTCTAATTCTTTTAATTGCTCCTGTCCCAGAGGCAATCTTTTTAGATAATTTATCGATGTGTGTTTGCCACCGCAGATTTTCATCAATAAATATTCCAAGCGATTTTACAGAGCTAACTTTCTCTATCGGAACACTATCAATGGAGAGCTCGGGTTGGCTCGACAAAGTGCTCAATTTTTGTCTAGATCATATCCAATTAGCATAAATTCAGTTTTAGCAGTGTTCAAAGCAAGTTTGTTGGAAATAAGCTATTTGTTTAGATTACCTAAATCGTGATTCAAATTTAACTGTATTGAATTCACACCAACATTTGCACAAGTGATGTGTGTGTCATCAGCACACATCCTAGGCTGGCATGAAGTTAGGCAGTCATAAATCGTTGATGTAAATAAAATAAAGGGGACCAAGAATCGTTCCTTAGGTACCGCAGCATTTGGCGAATGACCGAAAGGGAACCATTAACGAGACATCGTTCTGTACGATTTGTCAAATACGATCTAAACCAATCGAGAGCGATTCCTCGTATTCTGTAAAGGTTCATTTTAGATAAAAGGTATCATGTTTAACAGTGTCAAATGCCTCTTTTAAATCAAGAAGTTTGCACAAACCCGACCCAAGCTACCGAGCGTTTGGTTGTTGTTCTTGTAAGCAGGATACAAAAGAGCAGTGCTAGGGACAATTTTTTCAAGGGAAAAGGGGAATTTGGTCCGACCGACCGAAATGATTAGACCGGTCAAAGTGGACCCCTTCAAAGGTGGTCCAAAATACTCCGGTCGGACCGATCGAAAATGGTCCGTTCAATTAATTTGATTTCTAAGCGAAATTTCCGTAAGTTTGGGATGAATGGAAAGCGCCCCTAATAAGCTGTGATTGAGTGCTTCAGGTTTTCGTCTCCAGGCGCCTGCCCTTTACCTGTATATCCGTGAATCACAAAAATTGTCCGCCTTGAAATCTTGAAATGAGAGGACGTGAGCTTATTTTTATTGTGATCATCAATGAGGTTAGCTGAATTCCTGTTTGCTCTTGTAAAGAGATTGAATCGTATTCCAATCCGGGATGGGCTCTGCGGTAGCTTTATCAGTATGTTTGGCTGACGTTTAAAGCAACCATACTTTTGATAACAGACCTTCTTCGAGAAAAGCCATGCTAAAAAAACGTATAAGACATATGCAGGTATAAATGTTTTGACGGACGGGGTGGGGGCGGGCATAGGTGTGGCATTTGAACACTTGCTATGTCCCTTCTCTGGGGATTTTGACCACAAATTTTGCCTCAAACTGCGGGTTTTGTTATCCTCAGAAAGGGATATTTTATCAAATTGAACTATTTTCCATTCCCGAGGGTCAGGAATTTGAGCCAAAAAATTGAAAATGCTGCACCTGCCCTTATCCCCTCCCCCCTCCCTCTCCGTCCAAGCAATGGCATCTGCATCACATTCACACTAACAGATGACTGAATCTTCACATGCAAATAATGACATCGTTATAGTGAACTCATTTTGCCACTCCCTTGGCCCTTTGTCACACTGAGGTTCCACCGAAAGACGTGCACTGTATGCGATAAAATAATTACATAATGAGTCATCGAGTTTACTGACACCATCGAATCTTTTTTTTCCCCTTTCTTAACCTGGAATTATTTCCGCGATCTCGTTGTGAAAGATGTTCAAAATAAAACGATCGTTTGCAATATAACCTGTACCAAAAAGCGCAATGATTTAGCCAGTGTTAGACTCCGTCGTCTTCTAGGAAAGTCATTGAACAAGGGCAAGGGCAAGGGCAAGGGCAATCATTTGTTTACTCTGCTTTTAGAGAGTTTTAATTAAGGACACCTTAATTTTTCTACAGCCAGATATTAAAAGCGGTTTGTGTTAGTAAAAAAAAAAAAAAAAAAAAGGATACCCCCAGAAAGCGGAAGACCGAAGCCGAAGAGAGAAGACTTAGCAGGGAACTTTAGCAACGACTGCGGCGATGGAAACGATGACTATTCGCAACCACGATTTTTAGCACAACACAGGGCCGCAATGTTGGAACAACGCTGTAACTATTCGAAACAATGTCGCATCAATGTTGCAACGCTGTGTTGCGCTAAAAATCTTCGTTGCGAATCGTCCCCGGGGGGACTCCCATATAAAAGAGGCGGGGATGTTCGTCGGAACTTTTGAATTGAACCCCTAAAGGAAACCAATCTGGGCGTGGCCCAACCTTTTTTGACACCTACAAAAAATTTGATTATTTTTAACACATGAATCGAGCAAATAAAACGAACTGAAAATATATAATCTTTTATATTTCTTCGCGTGCAACCCTGAAATAAACCGTTTCGGCTAAATATAATGGCGCGCGCGTTTTGCCCAGAACACCCTAAGCGAGACCAAAACCGAAATTTACACCCCTAAGAGAGACGACGAGCGTCCTCGCCCCTTTCATATGGGTCCGGGGAATCGTCCCGTGTAACATTTCCTTTTGCCGTTGTACTGTTCAGGGGCGCCCAGCGACGGTTTCTTCCAAAATACGTTGAAAACACTTTTTAGGCTATCCGAAGTAATTTTAGATCTCTATTAGATCTCAATTTTATCTTTTCAGTCATTTTACGGGAACTTCAGTCTTTTCAAAATTACAAGGGCTTCAGTTTATTTTTCCGAAAATTTTAGGCGCCATTTAACAATTTACGAAAGTAAGAATTTTTCTGATTCCTCTCTCCATCACATTTCAGAATCCGAAAATTTTAAGTTTCCTTTTTCTAAGAAAAATAGTGTAACCTGGGTAGTAAAATATGAAAAATTAAACTTCAGAAAATCGTAGGGAATTTATTAGATAACCTTCGAAACTTGTATGTGAATGGAGCGTTCATCTAGAAATTTTTAGTCGTCCTCAAGTAATAGAAAATTCTAGGCAACATTTGCTTCTCCGAACAGATATTTTGCAGAAAACAGTCGTTAGGTGCCCCTGGTTGTTACACGACTACGACGTAAATTTTCCAAATTTCACGTTAATGAAGGACGAGAACACGAGAAAATGATTTTAATTACGTTTTCTTTTTCTGAACTTAGATACAGGCTTTTAGAATTCCACTCCTGACCAGAAAAATTCGCCAGCATTTGACGAATTGAACGAGATGGAATAAGAGTGAGGAAGTTTGAAGCAGCGCGAATTCATATTTTATGTGAAGTTTTTGTTACCGTCACTGTCGTTGATGCTAAAGCTCTTTAGTAGGAAGATCGAAGACACCCCACGCAAATCACGAAGCTGCTATGTTCGGTTTCTTAATTTATCCCGGAACAAATGGCGGAGCTCTTAAATTTTGACTTGGGGAAGGGAAGGAGAACAGCGATTTGTTTTTCTTTCCTTTTTTTCTATGGCGTCTTTTTTTTTTTCTAGCGCCACTTGGCATTGAGATGCGCGGAACTTGCCAGAGCAATTTTGTAATTTCACCCGGAAAATGGCAAATTAACGCTGAAATGTCCTGCCAAACATTACAAAGCTGACAATAATTTTCGGTTTTGTAGAGACAAAACCCTCCGTTAGTAACAGACCTGACGTTCACAATCGTAGCATGGAGGTAAATCATATGCCTTACGCTTTCAAGTACCGATACTTTTAAAGCTGATGCCGTTATAAAAGATTCA